GGAGGGGGAGGAAGGAAGGAAGGAAGGAGGGAGGGAGGAAGAGAGCTTGGAGGGAGGGAGGAAGGAAGGAAGGAATGGAGGGAAAAAATTAAGGAAGGAAAGAAGTGAGGGAGGGAAGGAGGGAGGAAGGCACAAAGGAAGGAAGGGAGGGAGGGAAGGAGGGAAGGAGGGAGGAAGGAACAAAGGAAGGAAGGAAGGAAAGAAGAAAGGAGGGAGGGAGGAACGAAAGAAGGAAAGAGCATGGAGGGATGGAGGATGGAGGTTGGAGGGGTGGAGGGAGGGGGTTGGAGGGATGGAGGGAGGGGGTTGTATATAACAAAGGCAAATTGAGGTGAAGTGGAAAACAGAGAAGAGGGAAGAAAACAAAAGAAAACACTGGGTTTGTGTTTGAAGAACATCATCAGAGGACAGGACCCCCCCCGCCCCCCAGCCCCCACCTCCAGCCCTCATTAGCTTGGAGCTCAGTGTTCAGCCAGGCCAGTTCAGCCTCAGCCAGCAGTGGGAACTTCCTGGCTCGGTGTCACCGGCGCTGTTAAAGCTGCTGCCAGAGCAGGAAGCAAAAACACAGAGGACACAAGGAATTCCAGCAAACACGGACTGAGCTTCAGCGACTGTCAAATCAGCGTCTTTCCTTTTTTCAAATCCTCTGTCGTGCTGCTGGGAAAATCTATTACCGGTACTGCTCACAGCAAGATGTTCTCAAATCTAAGACGGGGTCTTAATGTTTCCCTCACGTACGTGAAAAGTATTTTCCAGATGCTCCAAAGTCTGAACACATGCATGTTAATTTTATTTGATATTTGAAATATTCCAAAGTAAATAAATCAAATAACAACTCAACACATTTTTGAAATCCATATAAAACGTGTCTCTATTCTGGAACAATTCACAAAACAGAGACTGAATGTGTTTAAAGGCTGGATTGAAGCCAAAAGTGGGAGGATTCTTGTTTTAATCCTTAATTTTTAGTATTTGGTTGAAATTATGTTGTGGAATCCTCTGCATCCCATTATGAGCCCATATATAAGACAACTAAAAACAGTTTTAAGTCACACTTTACAATTTGAGGCTATTTTTAACCGTTGTCACTTTCTTTAAGTTTATTTTGTAACATACACCTGATAAGGATAACTTCAGTTAACACAACCAGCCAACATCTTACCATGTTCCACAATATATACCAAATTAACATGTTTTCCTCCTTTAGCTACTAAAAACAAACATTACAGTGACACAGACACCAATTAAAGATATTAAATTGAACATATACTCTACTTTATGGTTCATCAAACACTAAAATATGTGTAAACTCTAAATCTACCAAGAAAAAAATAGTTCACTGCATGTATATATTTATTATTTTAGATTCCAGCGTATTGCTGACTTTATTATTCAGCAAGCAGTAGTGCAGATCGTTAGTCTTTTCCACTTTATTTTGTGGGTCAAAAGCTGAAAACTTTGGAAAACCACTGATTATAAATGTTCACATTTGAGAACACAAACATCCTGTTTTTATTCAGATGTTTTGCAGATATGTTTCATTCAGTCCTTCAATGAGAGGGAGAGCAAGGTAATAGTAATTTACTACTACTGCAAATAAGCCATTATATGTGATGTCATACTTCTTCTGCACTCACATTATGCAGGCACAAACAGCAAATGTGTAAAATTGGTTTAAATAATATCTATCTGATAGATTCCAATTTGTAAATGTAAATAATGAATCTTCATCATACACCAAAGTTAGTCATGGAGTTCCTCAAGGTTCAGTGCTTGGACCAATACTCTTTACCTTGTATATGCTCCAATTAGTTCATGTTATTAAACAACATGGGATCAATTTTCATTGTAAATTGTAATTGAATTAAAAGTCTGAACCAAACTGTCGGCACGTTCTTACGAACATCCTCCAATGTTCATGTGTAAACCTGCTTTTTATTACCGTTGTGACAAAGCTGAAGAATCCTGAACACAGCTAAAGAAGCCGTGTAGTTGAAGCTGTTCGGTCAGAGCTCTGACTCCTGCTGCTGGTTTGGCTGAAGGACCGTGCCTGTGAATCACAGTCCCTGCCATAAGCACCAGCACCACAGGCACAAATCCACACTCTAAACTGGCATTTGGTGCCCACAGCTTACACTGGCAATAACAGTGGCACTGGTGCCAACCTCCCCGAAGGTCTGGGGACAGTCCACTGCTCTCATTCTGATTTCAGTGGCAAGGGAGCAGAGAAATCACACCTCCGATCCAAAAGCTAAAGCATCAAAAGAGTAACAGTGTGGGAAACAAAGAATGTGGTGCGCAGCTTGAGCCAAAATACCTGCCAAACCGTCGTGTCTGAGGTGATGAAAGACTGGGCTGCATGCGAACGAGACCTCACCTCTTTTTTCCTCTTCTTAACTTTGGGTATTTTCCCCTCTTTAATTTTTTTGGGCTTCTTCTTCTGCTGTTTGAGCATGTCGTCGTCAGAGAAGAAGCTGGCGAGGGGCCTGAGGGGAACAGTGTTGCGCTCACCTTCATCGTCCTCATCTGCACACACAAAGAGACACGTATGTTTAGGAAAACATTATGCTCAATAAAGATATACATGTGTATGCACTGGAAAAAAAGGCAGCGAAAAATAAAATTGATCAAAAGTGGCAACTATATTCAGCTTTAATGACGCATACGGTATTTGTCTTATATACTGCCAAAGACAAAAGTAGAGCAATTAAGTTTTTGCTTATTTTTTTTGTCCGTTTATCTGTAACATTCGCAAAATATCTCATGAATCAATGGACAGATTTTTACGAAGCTTTCACAAAATAATCTTGACATCTACAATTTTTAGAGTCGGCTCATCTCAAGACGGCTGCCACGGTAACTTGGCCAACAACAATGGCTTTAACAGTCAAATATTCACACATTCATCTCAAACTGGGTGTGATAGTAGCCGAGACTCATTCCCAATATACACTCTATAAGTGCAAACGGGTCAAGAAAGATACGTTTTTTTTAAACTTTGACAATAACTACTGGAATCAACTCTGTCAGCAAAATATCTCACAGAATGAATTCTAATGATATATCAAAGTTCATGCTCAATCATCCAGGTAGAAAAATCCAACAACGTTAAATCAGGTCCTCTGGACGGTTTCTTTTTGTTGAAACGTTTCGTCTTTCATCCAAAAGCCCTTGATCAGTCCGAGGAGCCAAAACAAACTCAGGCTTATAAATAGCGCCTTCACATAGAGGGTCAACCAGTTTGATGGAGCTCAGATGGTTTCTGGAGTGCGCCCTCTCCCCAGCAGACTCGTTTGAGGCAACCATGGCCAAAGTGGTTCAAAATATCCAAGTTCGTGCTCAATGATCCAGGTAGAAAAATCCACTCCTTTCAACATAAAGAAACCACCCAGAGGACCTGACTTGACTTTGTTGAAACTCTAATGAAACTTTCAGGAAATAATCACTGGATACACATCAACAAAGGAAAAAACTTTGAAGCCAATCAAAATTTAGATAGCCACCATAGCTAATCAACATTAGCAAACACAAACGTTTACAGATATTGAGCTAAAATGTGTTGTGGTAGTAGCCGACATTCATTCACAACATGTACTCTGAGCATGACATCTATCAAAACTGCGTGAGGTCATGCACTACATTACGTTCCAGGTTTGACAACTCCAACAACCTGTCTATTCTCAATATAAGATGGCATCTAAAGGTCTGGTTATAAGACCTTGAGACGTCATATTTCGCGGTCGTGATTGGGGACATTCTTTTTGGAAAGGCTAATTATACTCTAAAGAGAAACCACTGGGGATAAGTCCTGATACTTCCTCCTACTGTCCTCCCACTGCAGCACACATCACACAGGCAGAATCAATGCAGACAGCGGTTGTCAAGAGTGGATGTTTATTTTCGGTTGATGTCACGGTTAGTGCAGGGAATTGGACCCAAGATGGAGGCGAATACAGAGGGCTCAAAATAAAATGCAACTTGCTTATTTTAACCATCCATCCATTATCTTTACCCGCTTATTCCATTTTGGGTCACAGGGGTCGCCGGTGCCCATGTCCAGCAATCACTGTACGAGGGGCGGGGTACACCCTGGACGGGTCGCAAGTCCATCACAGGGACACATAGAGACAAACGAGACAAACAACCATTCACTCTCTCACTCACACCTAGGGACAATTTAGAGTTACCAATCATGCATGTTTTTGGTCTGTGGGAGGAAACAGGAGCACCCGGAGAAAACCCACGCATGCACGGAGAGAACATGCAAACTCCACCCAGAAAGGCCCCTGGACCGGGGTTTGAACCAAGGACCTGCTCGCTGAGAGGCAGCAGCTCTACCAGTTGTGCCACCGTGCTGCCCTCTTATTTTAACCAACAAAAGCAAAAAGCCAACATGGCGGCAACAACTTACAAACTTCAGAAGGGAGACAGCACAGCACGAGGGGGTTTGAGGAGGGCCGAGACCGTTTAAATAGCAAATTGAGTGAAAGAGGAAAGTGGGAACACCTGGGCTGATCACTGATTGGGAACAGGTGAGGGTGGCAGGCTGACTGGTAGAACACTGGGGAGGCGTATTGATGGGTGATAGCACAAGTAACACTGAAATACAAAAACACAATGAAACCCAAAGAACAAGAATAAAACATAAACCATGAAAGGAGTAATGCTAATTTGAAGCGCCATTTTTTTACAAAGAGACCACCACCGATTCCAGTCGTCAGTGTGAGAACAGATCCCTCCGCTGCCCGGGGGAGGCACACACTCTTTGTCATCTCCACCATTGAGAGCCGCCTGTGTCACCGCATCTCCTCCGTTCACAAAAACTGTCCAATCTGATTCCAAGGCTTCTTTGACTACATTTATATGTTTTATTTGACTTTCTTTAACATTTTTACTGGAGCAGTTGTAATATTGGCTACATTTTCTCACACCCTCGGCCAGCAGCTCCACATCTACAACGTTCTGACCTATCACACAAAGCTCAAAGCATACCCTGTAAA